AAAGGATATATGTTGAGCTTTATCTTGTTGTATGTTTTTTTCTTGGATCAAATAATCATTTACATCTTTTATTGAAAGTTTTGGAATTTTTACTATTTGACAGCGAGAAATAATTGTCTGTAACAATAAATCTTCTCTTTCTGTAACTAAAATGAAAAGTGTTTTTTGAGGTGGTTCTTCAATTATTTTTAATAATTTGTTTGCAGCAGCAGTAGTCATTGTCTCTGGTTGCCAAATAATCATAATTTTATACCCTCCTTCGTAGCTATTAAGAGCTAATGTTTTTACAATTTCATCTGCTTCATCAACAGGAATTACGCCTTGTTTTTTTTCAATTCCAAGATGTGTCATCCAATCAGTTAAATTTCCATAAACATTTTCTGAAATAAAAGTTCTCCAATCATTTAATAAGTACTTGGCTAACGGTTTTTTTACAGAATCTGTAGCCGAATAAGGAAAAGCAAAATGTAAATCGGGATGTTGTAATTTATCAACTTTTAATGCGCATTGATGATTATCAGAACCACATAAAACTTCTCTCGCATAAGCAATTGCTAGAGCTAATGCTCCAGATCCTTCAGCTCCAACGAATAATTGCGCATGGCTTATTCGATTATTTTTAATAGATTCCTGAAGTTTAGATTTGATTTCTTTTTGACCAATGATGTTTTCCCAAAGCATAGTTCAAAGATAATATTTTAAACAGTTTTATATCAAGAATTTTATGAATCTTTCATAACTTTATTACTCAAAATAGAATGAAATGAAGACTGATCTTTTATCGAATACATTAAAAATGAGAGCAATTAATCCAACTGCGATGAGATTGTTAGTGCTTGATAGGTTAATGAAGTCTGAGATAGCTTTGAGTTTAGCTGATTTAGAAATTGAAATGGATCAAGCAGATCGAACAACAATTTATAGAACGCTGAAAAAATTTGAAGAAAATAAATTAATTCATTCTATTGAAGATGGAACAGGATCTATAAAATATGCTATGTGTGAATCAAATTGTAATTGCGCACCAGAATTTACTCATGCACATTTTCATTGCAACAATTGTAGCCAAACGTTTTGTTTAAAAAATATTCATTTACCAGAAATAGATCTTCCTAAAAACTTCAGTATAGAGCAATCTTCTTTTATCTTGAAAGGAATTTGCAATCATTGTAAATCTTAAGTTTGCAATTTGGTTGCATACAATCTCGTTTATATTTGTCGTATAAATTATATTTTATGTCAAATTGTAAATGTTGTAGTAGCGAAGAAGTGAATGAAAATCATCATGATGAACATTCACATAACCATGATCACGAACATAATCATGACAATAATAAATTATTTTTAATAATTAGTTATTCTTATTTTTTGCAGGAATAATTATCCAATATGTTATAAAACCAACATGGTTTGTCGATCAACAAATGGTTCGATTAGCATGGTTTTTAGTTTCATATATTTTTGTTGCTTATCCTGTTTGGGGAGAAACATTTAAACTTGCTAAGAAATTTGATTTTTTTAATGAATTTTCTTTAATGGGAATTGCCACTTTAGGTGCGTTTCTAATTGGTGAATATCCAGAAGGAGTTGCAGTAATGTTGTTTTATACGATAGGAGAAATGTTTCAAGAAGCAGCTGTGAATAAGGCAAGAAATAATGTTAAAGCTCTTCTAGATGTTCGTCCTGAACTGCTATGTTTTTCGTGATGATAAGTTTATAACAATAAAACCTTCAGAAGTTGAGATAGATGAAATTATACAAGTAAAAGTAGGAGAAAAAGTTTCATTGGATGGTATTTTACTATCAGAAAAGGGAAGTTTTAATACTTCAGCTTTGACAGGAGAAAGTAAACCATCTACTTATAAGAGAGGAGACTTAGTTTTATCTGGAATGCTGAATTTAGAAAATGTTATAGAGATAAAAACAACGAAAAAATTTGAAGACAGTTCAATCTCTAAAATACTAAAAATGGTTCAAGAAGCTTCATCTAGAAAAGCTCCTACAGAGTTATTTATTAGAAAATTTGCAAAAATATATACTCCTATTATTTTCTTTTTAGCGCTTGCTCTTGTTACCATTCCTTACTTTTTCGTTGATGACTATGTATTTTCTGATTGGTTATATAGAGGTTTAGTTTTTCTTGTTGTCTCTTGTCCTTGTGCTTTAGTTATCTCTATTCCTTTAGGATATTTTGGTGGAATAGGAGCAGCTTCTAGAAATGGGATACTAGTAAAAGGATCAAATTTTTTGGATTTATTAGCTCGTATAAATACTGTTGTGATGGATAAAACAGGGACGTTGACAGAAGGTGTTTCAAGTTCAAAAAATTGAAACGAATTATAATCAGGATGATTTTTTAAATTACGTGGCAGCATTGGAAAGTAAATCTACTCATCCGATAGCAAAAGCAATAGTGAATTATCATCATTCTGATTTTCCTGTAACTGACGTTGAAGAAATTTCAGGAAAAGGATTAAAAGGAATTGTAAATTCTAAAATAGTTTTAGCTGGTAATTCAAAACTTTTAGATCAATATTCAATTTTATATCCAGATAAAATAAATAATGTTGTCGAAAGTATTGTTGTTGTAGCAATTGATAATCAGTTTGCGGGATATATTATTGTTGCTGATAGAATAAAGTCTGATGCACAAGAGGCTATTCGTAAAATGATTAATATTGGAGTTACAGAAACAATTATTTTGAGTGGAGATAAAGATGTTATTACTCAAAAAGTAGCAAAAGAAGTTGGAGTGAATTTGGCTTATGGAGAGTTATTACCAGAAGGTAAAGTAAACAAAGTTGAAGAATTGAAAAAGGATATTCATAAAAAAATAGCTTTTGTCGGAGATGGGATTAATGATGCTCCTGTATTAGCGTTAGCTGATGTAGGAATTGCAATGGGAGGTTTAGGAAGTGATGCAGCAATAGAAACTGCAGATGTAGTGATACAAACGGATCAACCATCTAAAATTGCTACAGCTATAAAAATAGGTAGAGAAACAAAGAAAATTGTAATTCAGAATATTATTCTTGCAATGGGTATAAAAGCAATTGTATTATTGTTAGGTGCAGAAGGTATAGCCAATATGTGGGAAGCTGTTTTTGCAGATGTCGGTGTTGCATTGTTAGCAATTTTGAATGCCGTTAGAATACAACGTATGAATTTTAAGAATTAATAGTATAAAGTGGTTTTTATATTTTATGAAAGTTCTAAAAATAAAGTTTTAATCGAATTAGAAAATAAAAATAAAGCGACAGGTTTGTCGCTTTATTTTTTTAGATAAAGATTTTTCATCAAATCCAGATCAACGTTTAAAATATTTGATAAATAATTTTCTACATTTCCGAAATGTCTCTTGATGTAGAAAAAAGATGTTTCTAGGTATTCAGGTAGTACATCAATTAGGTATTTATAATTAGGGTCTATTTTTAGAATGTGACCATATTTTTGTTCTAAAAATATATTCGAAGCTAAATAATCATTCATGATTGTTTCTTCATTTACATTTAATGCAGATAAAATCATTGCTGTTGCAAAGCCTGTTCTATCTTTACCAGCAGTACAGTGAAAAAGTATTGGGGTTTTATTTTTATGCTGTATAACATCAAAAAAGTTTTTATATTTTTCTTGACATGTTTTATCTAGAACAAAATCTTTATAGATATTACGCATAAACTGTTTAGGATTTGGAATACCTGCTCTAAATTGTTTCATCAAATCATCAAAATGTCCAGAAGAAATATCTAAATGAACTTCGTGATTGCAACTATTAGGAATATGATCATGATTTTTTAAACGTTCGTGGGTTGTTCTCAAATCAATGATGGTTCTTATAGGATATTTGTTTAGTTTTTCTAAATCATCATCAGTTAAATTTGCTAAATCGTCAGAGCGGATAAGTAAACCACTTGTTATACATTCATTATCTTTGTTAATAATACTTCCTAAATCTCTACAATTAAAGCTTCCTTCTAGTGGAAGGATTCTTTTTTCAAGTCTATCATTGTCTAAAGTACATTCCATTTTCAGCGTCTATTTTAGGTTATTTTTTAACACTAAAAAGTTACGAGTTATTAATGAAATCTTAATGTTAAAAAATCTATAAATTTTTCTTTTTTTAAATGTTTACTAATTTGGATCAAATTAATCTTAATTTATATTCGTATAGATTAGCATTAATCTAAATAAAAGATGGGCAGAATAAAATAAAAATTATAAAGAGAAGTTTTACTTCTTGAAGAAAAAGAATTGTAACTGCCTGCATCTTATAAGATTTATTTGGCAAATAATGATGTTTCTTTATTTGAGAATAACATCTTGTGGGAGGAAGCATGTAAATTGTTATTATCCTGCGCATTAAGGTAACCTAACAGGGATATTACATCTATGCAGACATAGATCCGATACTTCAAAAATATGGATTCTCGCATTCTGATAAATTTAGACGCAGTTTCTCCGAACATCTATAGCTTTGAGGAACTTTGATGACCAGATAAAAAACCAACAAGGATAAAGAATAATCAAATTATTATGCGAGTTTTGGCAAAACATGGTGTAATGGAACTCGCCACCCTCACACGTCCCCGTCCTGGTTCTCGCTGGCGGCAATGAAGGCTGTTGTTGGTGATAAGAATTGGAGTTTCTATGAAATCAAAGAAAAAAGATTTAGTATCAAAAACAGACTTTGTTGTTTTAGGTGCGGATTTAACAGGATTACCAGTCATCTCTACAATTATAGAAACATTATCAGCTCATGTCAAAGGGATTGTTTGTGTAGAAGTTCCTACAGAGAATGATATTCATACAATAGAATCAAAAGCAGATTTAGAATTTAAGTGGATTGTAAATCCAAATGTAGGAAAAGGTTCTGCATTATTTGATTTAATAAAAAAACAAAAATTCCCGAAAAGAAAAGAAGGTAAACGTTTTGCTTATATAGCAGGTGAATCAAAATCTGTAAAAGAATCAAAATCTTTTTTCAAAGACGATTTAGAGTGGAAAAAAGATGAATTTTACTGTACTTCTCATTGGAAGGCTGGTAAATCAGAAAAAAATGCTTTAGAAGATTGTCACTCTAAAATAGAAGAAGAATCTTTAATTAAGATATTTTAAAATTATTTATAATAGAATTTAATAAGATAATTAGTTTAAACAATTTCATTAATAGATATTAAGCTTTTTTAATTTATAGGGAAATGGAAACTTTTTTTGAAAGGTTTCCATTTCTTTTATAATCTTTTATTCTTCGATTACATTTGCATTTAATGAAGCTAAAACTTCTTGCGTGATATCTTTTCCTCCACTAATGTTTCTATACA